GGGGGGGGGGGGGGGGGGGGGGGGGGCAGTTTAAAGGCTGACTTTAACGACCAGCATCAGGGCAAGGAAACCCCTCATCAAGCGAGGCCTCATGCGGCCACACCTGGCCTTACAGTCTGTCTGTGGTCATTAAGCGAGGACTGGCTGCATGTGCCATGAACCGTTCAGAGAAGCGGGTAAAGGGCCCTTTGTGTTTGAGACTTTTCCGTCTTTTTCCAGCCGGGGGGAGCCTGATCGAATTCGGGAGGATGATCAAGGAAGAGACGGGGAAAACCGCCTTCCCCTCCTACACCACCTACGGTTGCTACTGTGGCCTGGGGGGCAAAGGCCGGCCACGCGACGCCACGGACCGGTAAGAAGCCCCCCATGTCCCACGGCCGTCACCCCCACCGGGCCCGGAAGCCCCACCAGGCCTTCAAGGGCTGCAGAGAGAGCCACCTTCCCTTCTACGTGGGGGGGGGGGGAGGCTGACATAAACGCAGACGCTAGGCAACTGACCCCTATTTATGACGGTCGCACGGCCCTGGAGGCCCTGCAACCCCCCTTGGCGGCCTCTGGACAAGCAGAATCGGGGGGGGGCAGCTGGACTTGCCCCATGGCTGCATGGCGAACGGAAGAACTCAGCAACTGTGGCCAGAGACGTTGCAAAATGGGGCAAAGTTCACTTAGCAACGGTCCCGTTTAGCCCTGGAGATGTGGGGCATCATTGTGGCCTTAAGCCAAGGACCTCCTGCGCTGGCAAGAGTTGCTTGATCTGCCCTCTGCCCCTCCCTCCCTCCCTCCAGCTGCTGCCTGATGCACGACTGCTGTTACGAGAATCTGACCGACTGCCACACCAAAACGGACCCCTACCGATACAGCCGGAGGAGTGGGGTCATCTTCTGCGGTGAGTGGGCTGCCCAGACCTGGGTTCAAAGGTTTTGATCCTAAGATCCTTTCCCCAACTTTGGGCCACCTGCCCTCTCTTTGACTAAGCTTAAGGGGCAAAACTCAGGCTGTCCACTAGGGGGTGGCAATCAGGATTCCCTGCATCTCTGGCTGCCCTCTGGTGGCCAGGCTGGGATTTGCAGCCTCCTGCGAACAAGGGCTGAGCCCTCGGGAAGGGTCGGCAGGGTCAAGCAGAGCTTTGTTCTCCTTGCAGAAGGCGGCACCTGGTGCAAGAAGCAGATTTGTGAGTGCGACAAAGCAGCGGCCATCTGCCTCCGAGACAGCCTGGACACGTACAACAAAGAATACCAGTTTTATGAGGACCTCAATTGCAAGGAGGGTCCGAAGAAATGCTAAGTCTCAAAAAACAACAACAACAACCTTGAATGACACAATCATAGTTATGTTACCTTATTTTCCTGAATGCAACACTGGTTAATAAACAGCTTTGCACAAGCGATCAGCTTGCGGCCTCTCTTATTACGCATCTTTGTGTACAATGCAAACACGAGAGAGGAAACCTGTTTGGCTGTCGCCCAGTCAAGATTTTCCAATCCTCTTGTTACTGGGACCTTCAGTAAATTAACATTCTAGTCCTCAAGGTTCTGAATAAAGAAATGAGAGGGATTCTTTCCACTGAGCCAGGATACAGAATCAAGTTCAAACCCTGGGGACCGAAACAAGAGACGCGGGGGGGGGGGGCTCTGCCCCAGAGCAGCTTAAAACCACCGGAACCTTTGCCAGGGAAGGGCAGCCCCTGGACCAGAGAGCGGGAGTGGCTGATGGGCAGGGGTGTGGATCCCTGCATTAGACGACCTCTTCCGCCCCATCGCAAACCTTCCTGCCAGAGGAATCCTTTGTTGGTATGGCGGTTTTTACAACCGACCCTGGCATTTTTTCCCCCTCCCTGCCCGTGTTTTTGTTCCAGGCTGATTCCACGCTTAATTAGGGATGCGCAAAATAAACACACTCACAAGGAATTGTTGGCACAGCTGGCATTGCACACTCGGGCGAGGGAGGGAGGGGGAGTTTTGTGTTTGCTGCCCTTGGCTGCTTAAAACAGCTTTCGGGGGGGGGGGCGGCCCCACGTGGCCTCCGTGACCTCATTCCTGGCTCTGGCTGGGAGGAGGACTGGAAGTCAGCCGGTTTTGTCTGCCTTGGAAGCCAAAGGCAGGAAGACTGACAACAGCTCATTTAGTGACCGTCTGGCGGTACAAGGGCCCTGAAGAAGAGGTGAGCTGTCTTCACACTTACGTCCGTCGCAGGGTCCCGGGGTCACCTGATCCCCTTTTGCGACCTTCTGAACAGCAAAGTCGGTGAGGAAACCAGATTCACTTACCAAACGTGATCCTAACTATGCAACTGCAGGGATTCACTTAACAACGGTGGCAAGAAAGGATGTAAAATGGGGCAAAAGTCCCATGACAACCACCTTGGGCTCCGTTAGGGCCGTCAGCCGAGGACACCACCCCGAGGTAAGTAAAGCAGGGCAGAGGAGCTACGAACACGCACGGCGTCTTTGCTAGGATCCCTTTGAGGGACACAAATAATGACCCTCCAAGTGCCCAGAAGGGACCCCGAAGGGCAGGCGATGCCACCGCAGCCCTGAGAGCCACCAATGGGTAAATTCACACCCTGTTGCCCACGTTTCCATGGCCTTCAGGGGAGTCCTGTTGGGAGGACCTCTCCTGCCGCTCCACCTGGGGTCAGATTGGAGCCACGGACCAGTTTCCCCAGTTCCACCGGGTTGGCGCCTTGCCAGGGGCTGAGAAGAAAAAAATTCTCTTTATCTTCTCGATTCTTCCTTCAAGTGTTTCCTTTAAACTTTCTCCCCCGCTGACTTGTGGGTTGGACACTGGATGTTCTCCAGTGTTGGCTACTAAGAAGAAGGGAAGGTTATGTCCACAACAGAGACCTCAGACGTCCTTCCACCTTCCTTGGGCCAAAGCCCAACGACGGATATGGATGATGCTAGAAGATCCCAGGGGAGGCCTTATCTGGAGCGTGAGGTGGCTGCTCATGAACCTCTGGACCAGATCAGAAGGAGCGTTGTGTCAGGCATCCGGGGGCTGGACTTATTTTCGTGGCCTCCACACTGGGCAGGCCACAACTGGAGCCCTGGGCGGCTCTGGGGCCCCCATTTCTAGCAGAATAGGAGCAGATTAATACTGATTCAGAGGAAGGACCCAGATGGCTCAGAGACCCGAGGAAAGGATTTAGGAAGACTGACTGGAGGAATGGAGACATTTAAAGTGAGGAAGAAGAAGAGAAGAACTCGGGGAAAACAAGACGGTGGTTGTTAGGGACAAGAAAAGAAACCGACAAGCAAGATGGTGTTACTCCACACCCACAAGGACTACATCGGATTACATTTGGATTTTAAAAATTCAGATCAAAGTTGCAATTCGCAGGGTCAATGTAGGACGTCCTCGAGTTACAACCATTTGTTTAGTGACCATTCAAAGTTACAACGGTCTCGGACCAAACTATTATAAGCTGCAGCTGCGCCTGGTTGGCTTTCATGCTTGTTGCAACGATGGGCTTTGTGGTCCTTTCGAACCAGGGTTTGCTGGGCTGCATCATTTCCGAACCACAACACAAAGAGGTTGTGAGGTTCAATTTCAGGACCCTGGACAGCGTCTGGATCTACCCCTCAAACGCCCCCCACAAATCGAGGGCCAACAGGGTGCTGCTTCTCCTAGCGTGACCCTCGCCGGGGTGGCCGATTTGGGTGGCGGGGCGTAGTTTGTAGCCCTGGAGCTTGAGGGAAGGACGGGGCAGAAAGTGGGCCCGGTGGACCAACTTGGATTTGTGCACACCCTCTGGGAGCACCTGGCTGATGCCTGCAGGTGATGCTGGGTGAGTTGCGTCTTTTCCCTTCCTTTGATCCGAGGCTGACAGATCCAGGGTTGCTCTGACGAAGGCTGAGCCTTTCTAGCTGTCACAGCAAAGAAAACAGCCTTTGGCTGACTCGTGGCGCTCACGGCATTCAGTCCAGAGCCACCTACTGCTCTGTAAGCATCCACCGGTTGGGCTTCCTCCGGGATTCTGGGAAGTGGAGTTAACCAGCCGGAGGGGGCTGGACTAGAAGACCTCTAAGGTCCCTAACCCAAGGACTGGACGTCTTCCTGCCTGGTGTGCTGCTCCTTCCAGGGGGAGAGAGAGAGGACACCCCACGGTCTCCAGGATGGCCCGTCCGCTCAGGGGCAGCAGCCCCTTCCTGCTCCTCTGTGGTGAGTCCTGGCTGAAAGGCAGACGGGAAGGGAGGGGAGGACGGAGCGAAGGATGAGACAGAACCCAGCAGAGGAAAGGAAGGGCCGCATTGTCATCGCTTGTTCAAGGAATATTATTCCAACACGGCAGATTAGGGAGAATCACCAAAAAGGAATGAGAGTCTTTGGAGTTTTACAGCTCAATCAAGGAATGTTTGTAGCTCTGAGCTGAAATGTTGGGTTATCCTGGGTGCTCTCCGAGCTCGGAGGTTTCCTGGCAGACATTTCATGACCCAGCTAGGCAACATCATCAGTAATGCTGCCTAGTCTGGGGATGAAACATCCGCAACGAGACCACCAAGCTCAGAGAGCGCCAAGGACCCCTCCTTCGGCTCAAGGCGGCCCCAGAGCTGCCCGGTTGGGTTCCTGCTGATGCAGATCTCGGGTCCTCGGAGAACGAACGGAGGCAGAGGAAACAACCCCGCTGTGACCTTCCCCAGGCTCATTGGTTGGGGCCCAAAACCATTTCCTGAAAACACCCAGTGCTGCTTCACACGGTGGATTCAAGGTGAATTCACTCCTGGGGCGAAGGGAGAAATATTTATCCAAAAGGGAGGAGAAGAAGCAACGGACGGAAGCTCATCAAGGAGAGAAGCGGCCGAGAACCGAGGAGGAATTTCTTGAGGATAAGGAGGACCATCAATCCCTCCCTGGAGATCTCCAAGGAGAGGCTGGGCAGGCCTTGGTCTGGAATGGTTGAGGGTCTCCTGCCTTGAGCAGGGGGGTGGACTAGAGGACCTCCGAGGTCCCTTCCAGCTCTGTGAGCCTGTAATTCAGCCCTGGGGAGGGCGGGGGTGTCAGAATGGCAAAGAACGCCAAATCCTTGGAAGCCTCGGCCGGGCACCTGGTGGCGGAGGCTCCGTGCTGGCACTGCCCGCCAGGGCCACGCGGGGTGTGGGGCGACAGCTACCTCCCCTCTCTTGCTTCCAGTTCTGGTCTTCGCCAGCGCCAACCTGATCCAGTTTGGACGGATCATCGAACACTTGACCGGAAAACACGCCTTCATCTACAACGGCTACGGCTGCTACTGCGGGTGGGGCGGCTCCCGGCAGCCGGTGGACGCTACTGACTGGTAAGTAGAGGGAGGGGGGACCTGGGAGGGGTCCTAACCCCCCCCCTCATTTCCCAGAAGAGCCAAAGCAGGCCAGCACCCCCACTCGGCTCGGCTTCCCACCACCACCACCAGGTGGGCGCTAGTGGGATTGCAGGTAGTCCTTGGTTTACGACAGCCCAGTGACCATTCGAAGTTGTGCGATCCAAATTCAGGTGCTGGGCAACTGCCTCATATTTATGACGGTCGCACGTGGTCCCCCTCTGAGAGCTTCTCCCGAGGAAAGTCAGTGGGGAAGCCAGGCTCACGGAGCAGCCGGGTTGCTAACCTAACAACGGCAGTGATTGACACAACCGCTGGGGCAAACGTCACTGGATAACTGTCTCGCTTAGCGACAGAAATTTCAGGCTCAGTTCTGGTCATTAAGTCAAGGACCGCCTGTAGTAGAACGATGCGAAAGGGACTCTAAATGCATCGAGGGGAAAACTGATGAGAAATGCGAATCAAGGAGAGCTGGGAGAGTTTGGTGCCCGAGCTGCTGCGTCTGCCGGTCGAAAGGTTTTCAAAGGAGAATTATTAATTCATAAAGAGAAACGAAAGGAACAGGCGGAAGAGCCCCGGAGGCCTTCTGAAGGGGCCCTCAGACAAAGAACTCCCTGTGGGAACCGCATGCGAGGAGTTTGCTTTGTAAACTTTGGCCCAGCCGGAGGCCGAAAGGGACACACCCAGGCGGTTGGTTATCTGGCGGGTTTGGCAAGCAGCCCCTCGGCCGCACAATCGTGGCTCTGTCCTTCGCTTCCAGGTGCTGCCAAGCGCACGACTGCTGCTACCAGGCCCTGTCGCTCCGCCACTGCAAGCCCAAAGTGGAGAAGTATTTCTACTCCCTCGGGAAAGACACCGTCACTTGCGGTAGGTGGCAACACAGACCCTGCCGGCACAAGAGGGAGAAGCTCCCAGGATCCCCGCTAAATAAAGGCCAGGCTGGCCGGGGATGCTGGGACTTGGAAGTCCATGGGGCCGCGGGGGGGGGGGGGGGGATCATTTGCAACACACAGCACAGGGACCGCATTCACATAGAGCGTTATGGGTAGTTCTCGACTTACGACGGGTCCTGACCGGCTAGATTTTAAACAAATGCAGCTGTTTTGGGCCTGAAAACAAACCATTTTGAGCAAAAAAGGTCACAAATTGAGGCCAAAGGTTTGCGGCTGCAAACGCGGATTGGTTGCTGAGCAGCCAAAATTTATTTCTTGAATTTATCTGCCACTCCCTTCTCTGTGGGGGTAAAACGTCGTTAGGGGCAGGGCAGGCTTCAGGAGTTGAATCTGGGTCGTCAGCCTCTTTTTGGGGGGGAGGCATCGTAGCTTCAAACTGTCACTAAGCAACCAGTCGTTAAGCAAGACCACAGGTAGAACGTTTTCTCCCCTAATTTCCTTTCCATGAAGTGTTTCTCCCAGGGAGGCTATTTAAGGACCGCCTCTCCAAACCTGGGCAGGGGCCCAGCTGGGAGGGGTGGGCTCCCCATTCTGGGAGGATCAAAACAAGGCGAGGAAAGAGCCCCGTGGACCCCTCCCCTCTCCCCTTCCTCCCCTCCAGGTGGGGAGACCGAATGCCGGCGGCAAACCTGCGAGTGTGACAAAGCGGCCGCCCTCTGCTTCCGCCGCTCGATGTTCCAGGACCGATACATCTGCTACCCCAACCTCTTGTGCCAAGGACCCACGCCGCCCTGCCAGGACTCCTACCCCCTCAGGAAGGGGGGCTGAGGCCGGAGCTTCCCAGCTCGGGATGCCCACGGGGCCCACGAAACCCTCCCGACCCTGCCCTGCCTGCCCTCTGCCAGCCTCCGAATTGGGCCTTCTTGCGCAATAAAGCCACAGAGGTTCAGAGTTACGACACAGGCTTTTTTCTAAGTAGGCGATCGGCTAAATCCGGGGGGAGGGTGGGGCTCTGGCGTCCCAGGAGCACCGATGTCTTCCCCACTCCCTAAACAAGCCAGAAGCCTTTCCACGGCAGGGCAGCCCCCCCCCCCCGGGAGGAGACCCGCCTTACCCCTAGACCCCCCCCAGGCCTATTTTGGAAGGAACCGGAGAGAAAGAAATGCAGAAACGGCCTCTGGAGGAAAACAGGGTTTTTTAAAGGGAAAACCGAAACCGTCTTTTGCATCAACATGAATAAAATGACAAATGGAACTGAAAGGTTGAGATCCAGGGGGCTTTGCAGAAGAGCTGCCCACTTGAGGGAGGGGGGTACATAAAGCCCCTCCGGCCTCTCTCGCTGAGCCCTTTCGCCCCCCGACACCTGGACCAACTGAGGAACATGTATTTCTGGGAGGGGGGGGGGGACGACGACGACTTCCTGCAAATGTTGTCTTTTGAAGCCCCAGCATTGCCCTTGGGGCTCCCCCCTTTCTCGAGATGGCGCACAGCCGAGTCAGATACTGAGGGCCGCAAAGGTCCTGACCAGAGTGACCTGCGCCTGGGGGTCCCTGGCGACTGTGTTATTGTCCGAGGGGCTGCCCTTGCCGGCCAGGACTTTCTGACGGTGTCTGTCCTCCTGCTGCTTCTTCTTCTCCAACCTCTGAAGCTCCTTCTTCTGCTTGGTGGATGCCTGCCAGAGGAGGAGAGGGGTGGGTAGGATGGGGGGGGGGAACGACCCAGGAGTGGCCTCCGCCCAGGGCCTTCCGAAGCCAACTTTGTGGGAGGAGACCCCCCTCCTCCCCCCAGAGACCTGGGGATCAGGGGTCCGGAGAGGTCGGGAGGGGCTGTCCTGGCAGGCAGGGAAGCACGGGAGAGAAGCTGCTACCGTTGGGGCTCGTGTCCCTCTGAGCAGGTCTGTGTCTTCAGAGAGAGAGAGAGAGAGACGAGGGTCTTGGCTGCCTGCGTGGCCGTGTTCCAAAGACAAAGGAGGCCCCTGTGACGGCAGGTGGGAAGAGCAGGATGCAAAGGGCACGAAAAGCAGCGAAGGGTGAACGAGACAGCAACCCTCCGGATGGAGGCCAAGAGGGGAGGCCAAGAAGCTGCCGAGGAGGAGGGCAAGAGGGCATCTGCCGAAGGGTTTCTCCTGTTTAAGCAGGGGGTCGGACTAGAAGACCTCCGAGTTCCCTTCCCACTCTCTGATTCTTCCACCCGGGGGGGGAAGAGGGCAAATGCAAGACTGGGCCAGGGAACCAGGCCTCAGCAGGAGGGAACTGCAGAGGGGGAAAGCAGAAGGGGGACCAAGCAGGAGGGGGCGAGAGACGGCGGCATCACGACGCAAGAGCAAGCAGGGCCGGGAGGGGGAAGCCGCAGCTCTCAGCTTTCAGGTACCTTTTGAGCCGGGCGGTTCCTTTCCAAGAGATTCCCACTAGGGCTATTATTGTTTTCGGCTTCCTGGTGGCCCAAAGTCCTGCCTCGGCTTCCCTTCTCGTCCCACGGGGCCGGCCTGGGCTGCGGGTTTGGCCTGTTGGCCTGGTCTTCCTCTGCAAAGAGAAGGGCCGTGCTCAGCCGTGGGAGTCCACTGCCAGCCCGGCCTGCTGGGCGCTGGGAGCCTTCAAGAAGAGACTGGGCTGCCCTCTGTCAGAAGCGGGCAGGGGGTTGGACTCGGTGACCTACCAGGTCCCTTCAGACCCTGCCATTCTAGGACAAGCCCAGGACAGTGGCTCTCCTTCGTCTGGGAAGCAACCCGGTAACCGGCCGATCCAATTTAAGCAATTTGTAGAAAACATTTGCAGAAGCCTCAAAAACCCAGGCAGAGATTCCGATGCCGTTTTTAAGAATCAAGTCGTGAACTTGGTTCGGACACTTAACTGGATTTCCAAAGCAAACAGTGTGTTGGGGATCAAGTTGGGGAGATTTCTGCTTCTCTAAACAAGACTTGCGTTGGCACAAACGGCGACTCTTTGGTCCTCGTGGGTGAAATGATGCCCGTTTCGGTTTTTCTCTTCTGGGGTTAACTTTGGCGAGAGATTTTCTGGAGGAAGGGCGGGCCAAAAGGTTAAAGAAGGCCCTTCGCCTGAATCAAGGAGACTTAAGATGAACGTAAGACGCTGCGAAGGCTTCCTTCTCACTGAGGCGTGCACCCATTTGCAAACACAACTGCACAGCAACGCACACCAGCTTTTCCAGCAAGTAACTGATGCTTTTTCACCGTAAGAACACTTTGCAATAAGTGTAAGTCTTCGGAACAGAGTTTTCCCTGGAAAATTACTTGGCTTCAGCAAAAGTTTCCCTGGGCTCAAATGCTTAAAATCTCTGTTTTTCCTTCTGCGCTTAAACATGCTATCTCGATTGTTGTGGAGTTTTTTTTTACCGCTTTTTCTACAATATTTTATTTTTCTATAATATTGTACAGATAGTCCTTGACTTACAACCACAGTTGAGCGCAAAATTCCTGTGGTTAATGGAGACATTTGCATGAGTTTTGCCCCATTTTACAACTTTTCTTGCCACAATTAGTTATTATGTGAAGCTGGCTTTCCCCTTGACTTTGTCAGAACAGCCATAAGTGTGAAAAATGGCCATAAGTCACTTTTTTTCCAGTGCCATTCTAACTTTGAAGAGTCACTAAACGAACTGTTGTAAGTTGAGAACTACCTGTATGATATTTTTCCACAATATTGTATTTAGGATTCTTATCCCTGCTGTTAGGAAGTAAGGAAGTTGGGAGAGGAGAGGAGGGGACTTACGGAGGTTTTCCAACTCTTTCATCTGGAAAAGGGCGAAGATGGTGGACTCAATGCTGTAACCTTCTGCCTCTAGGACTTGGGCAATTAAACCAACATCCTGACCAGGGAAATAAAGAGAAACACCCAGAATAAATTTCAAGTGTCTGCGTTGTCGTCGTAAACCCGACTCCCCAAATTCTTCCTGCACAAAACCCTCACCGAGCATCCGGTGGCGTTATGGACCTTCTGGAGCGCGTCGTCCATTTCATCCTGGCTTTCTTCTTTCGGCTGCTGCTGCTGCCTCTCCCCGTTCGCCTGGAGGGCCTCCTGGTTTGGGGATTCGTTTTGGCACAGCATCTGGGCAAGACCGAAAAGGGTGCAGGGGTGCGTTTGTGTGTGGAAAGAGAAGGGTTCCACTGGCGGAGCTTGCAGGCACGTCGGGAGGGCTGTAACCCCCCAACCCCCCGCTTTTGCCCCAAAGCCCACTGGGCAGCCAGCCAACCTCCATCTGCAGCCAAGCGGGAGCCGCTGAGTTATCATTGATCTTTCGGACGCTGTCGTAATGCTCGCCATAGCGATAGGCGATGTGCAGCTCTCGGGCGTTGCTCTTGTCTGTCCCATGGATCTGCGGAGGGAAAAGGGAGGCTTCAGACAGTGTGTGTGTGTGTGTGGGGGAGAACTTTGCATTGGGGAGGGTGAGGAGGGGTTACTAAAACAAATTTTCAACATGGAGGGAAAGAAGGGAAGGAGGGAGGGACAAACAAGCAGAGCTAGGAGGCAGAGGTGGCCACGACCAGCTGAAAACCAACTGGAGTTTACAACAGAGTTGTAAACTTCCAGTGCTGAAAACGCCCGCCAGACATTTAACATTTTCCTCTTTTGGTCCCATTCTATATTACAGCCCAAGAGCCCCCGGCAAAGGTTCCCAAAACCTCCTTGGGAAGGAGGCCTCCAAAGCCTTCCCTGAGTTTGGGGGAGCACCTCCCGGCAGGGCAGGCCTTCCAGTGGGCCTGGCGCTGTTCTTGGGAGACCCACCTGCCAAAGGGGGGCGTTTTGCTGGTGAATGACAATGTTCACTTGGTTGTTCCTCGCAAAGGCTACGATGGCATCGTTGCCAGCAAATATGCCCGGCTGGGCCAAATTGGCAGCTGGAAAAGACGAAAAGGACATGAAAATCCAAGGCTGAGAGTGTGCAGGCCCAGGAAAAAGAGCCTCTGTGGAAGAACCCGGCCCTGCCGGGAAGGAAGGGGAGGAGGCCCACCAAGACGCCCCGATTCCTCAGAGGTCCCTGGAAAGGAGAGGGAACCAATCTGGCTCCTCCTGGGCTGCTCTGCAGCAGGGACTGGCACAAGGGGGGCGGCCAGCGGAAAAGCCACCGTCGACACTGAAGGACTGAAAGCCCAGCAGGGCAGGGAGGAGGCCACGCACTGTGCTTCTCAAAGGGGACGTCGTCCTCCACGAAAGGCTCGAAGTCTGGCCGCTGTTGGATCATGTAGGCTACAGTGTCCTGCCGGTGCTTGAGGTGGTTCCGTGAGTGGCCCTCCAGCTGGTCCCCCAGGGCCCTGAAGAGGCAGTTCCTGGCAGGAGGAGGAGACAACGGGGAGGTCGAAGAGGCCCACAAGGATGGATCGGTCCCAGCACTGACCCCCCCTTTGAAGAGCCCGGCCCACGGACTGACTGGTGCCTGACCTTTTATTCTAACGATTATGGCGCTTCTGCATTCTACCTTCTGCTCTCGTTCCTTGTGGCGGATCTTATACTACTTGTTTTTATTTATTACAGTACTTACATCCTGCCTTTATTATTCTTACAAACAACACTTTACTTTTATTTTATTGATGACCTTTTCCTGCTGCCCATTCTGCCCTACGAGGTGACTCTGGGCGGCGTAACATCCGTGCCTGTATTTATATTTGCTCACTTTTTAAGGTTGCTCTCTGGCCACGAGGCGGTCATAAAGTCATTGGACTGGATCAGCTCAACTCGTGACCGAGAGACAGGCGGCATATACCTTATAAATTAAAAATAAAAGACTCTAGTCCTCAGTGAGGAGCAGGGCAGGTGGGAGACCAGGCCACAAGAGTCCCCCTCACAGGGTTGTTGTGAGGGAGGGGAAGCCCCCTCACCCGAAACAGGCGGGTAGTCCGCAATGACGTCAGAGCCGCGCCACGTAGCCGCCGTGGGCGAGGCTTGCTTACCCGTCGCCCGGCACTTCGCGCAGGCGCAGTCCGAGCGCTCGCAGCTGCTCGTTGAGGCCGCCGCCTCCGCCGTCGTGTTCGCCCTCGCCCTGGGCCCGGTTGCGCCTCTCGCGGGCCAGCGCTCTCCGGGCCGCCCGCTCGTCCCGCTTCCGCTCCACCTCCGCCTTCCCGGGACGCGTCCGCGCCGCCTGCTTGCGGGACATCACCGCCGCCGCTCCCGTCGGCGCAGCCCTCGCCACTGCGCCTGCGCTGCCTTGCGACGGCTGTGGGAGCCTATAGAGGGGAGGAGCCAGAGCGGAGGTATCACGCGATAAAAGTGGGCGCCCCCGTGGTGGAGGACTGGAATTGCACCTGGCGAATGCTCTGGCTTTTCTTCTCATTTATCTCCGCCCATTGCAGAGAAAGGGCACATAAAGGCAGCTTTCGACCCTCTTTCCTTTACTGTGAACAGAATCTTGAAGTGACCGAATTCTTATTAAACCGGAGGAGAATTGGCTGGTCTAAAGCCTGGGGTCTCGCAGCGCCCCCTTCAATTGGATTAATTTACTCAGTTTTAACAGCCGCTCAGCTCACCTTTATTGGGGGTTTGTAGGTGTCTTACAATAAAACCCATCATTTAGAATACAATTTTTTTTAAAAAACCAGCCGGGCATGTTCAACTCCATCATCCCTACAACAGATGAATAAAGGAATCCAAGATGGAGGTGGATGCTCCAGCCTAGAAATAAGGAGAAATTAATTACCTGACGGAGAGAACAATCAATCCGTGGAAAGGCTTTGGGGGTGGCTCCATTCCTCGTGAAGAGATTGGACAGCCGTTAAGGCCTCCTGCTTGGGCAGGGGGTTGGACTAGAAGACCTCCAAGGTCCCTTCCCGCTTTCAGGCTCTTCCAACAACTGCACCACCTGAAAGTCTTGCCAGGCCCCATAGGCCACTCAACCTCATACCAAGGGGAACGTTAGGGTGTTTCCAAAGCCAAGGCATATTCCCTTAATTTATCACCCTGCCCTCTGCCCATTATTTATGGCCTTGTTTTTTTACTAGTCCCCTGGTGCATTCCAGAGAAGGGCAGTTCACAGCAGCTGAATTAAAGCCACCGCAGCCATCAGGATGTCTCCTCAGGATGCATTTCATCAGCCTGGTGGCCTCCAGAGCAACTTTCTGCCAATATAACAAACCCAGGTGTGGTGATCGAGGGAATCCTGGATCGGTTGAATGCTCCAAACCTGAGCTTGTAGCCCTCTCATCTCACACAGCCCGGGTTCCCCCCACCCTTTTCCAAGACCCTCGCCTGGTCCGTTTCCGCAGTGGTTCCTTGCAAGGATCTGCAGCTCTCCAGTTCCCCCTTGCAGGAACAGCTGGTGGGCAGAGGGCTCTCGAGAAGCCTCGGGCAGAGCAGCTGGATTTCTGGACGACTTCTGTCGGTTATCAGGCGTTGGCTTTTGGCCATGGCTACCCCAGGGAAAGGGCAGAGGGGGTTAATCAGTAACTCTGCAGCCAGTTAAGGGTGACCCTGCTCAGTTCTGCAGGGATCACTGTTTGTTGACTCAAGCACCTTTATGCCACTTCTCACCATTCCGCTCAATCCCTTCGGCGTGTTCGGTTTAAAGGTAATCTTTTCGCAGAATGGATCCACCCTTCACCTCGTCTGACCTTTCCTGAAACTAGAAAGACCGGAGACCAGAGATTCTTTAACTACTATGCCCAAATTGAACTTCACAATGTATTTAATTTTTAGCAAACAAAATACATCCAGATGGATCATCTGCTACGGAATACAGAGTTGGAAGGGACCTTGCAGGTCTTCTGATCCCAACTCAACCATTTCATGGCCCAGGAGGATCCATCCCCCTGCCTTAAGGTACCCTGGCAAGATGGGTTCTCAAGTGAACAGGATCAAAATCTAGCTTCCCACACCCTCTGTGGAAGTGCCCAGGCAGAACATTCTCTCTTCCCGCCTGACCTAAAAACACACTTACAACCTCAAGCGTTTTTCTGAGAATTCTTGTGTTTTGGAAAGGCCCTTGAGGCGTGTTGACCAAGGTCTCAAAGGAGGGCAAACAAACCGACTCATACTTGAGTTGGTGAAGTCTACTTGGCTGCCTCAACCTGCCCTCCGGTGACCTGCAGCCCAGATGTCCTTCTGCCAGTCCAGGGCACCATCCCAAGCCTGCCAACCTGATCTCCTAGCAATGCAGGAGGGCCTCTGGCCAGAAAGACGATCACCACCAAATATGGCCATAATACACTCGAGCTCCGGCTGAGTCATATTCCTTTTCTTAATTGAAACCAGCTCAGTAAAAGATCTCGAAGGGGTTTGAGAGACAAGCTTTCTGATTCAAGATGCCGCTCCCAAGGCTGCTACAAGTAGAAAAAGTATATTTTCTTGAGTTTTGCAGCAGGCAGCTCTGAGTTCCTAAGCAGGGTGAATGAATTCAGCCAGGCTCTCCCGTCACCTGCTTAGGAGAAAAGGAGGCCAGAATTACGTACCAAATGGCGTTTTATTCTAGGAAAGGGAAAGATGAGCCGTCTGCCTGCCTGCTTGGCAGACACTATTTCTCTTGCCACACACCATTTGCTCATTTTGTCTACAGGGAGGACGTTCCCATTTCCATTCCACTCAACTTCCTAGTCCTCAAAGCTTTTCTGAAACACCACGTATAATCTGCGTGCAATAGCAGGCCAGCCTGCTCTGGGCCGATAGTCTAAATGCTTCCATTGGAGCAACACTTTTATCTCAAGCACCAGATCCAAGCTACAAATGAAACCTTCCCATCTATAAAGCCTTTGAATTTATCTAAAAACGGCAGCTTGCTCTGGTGAACTGGAGAATTCTAGCCCGCAACTGCAATCCTAAAGCCACCTGTGGGAAGCACGACGTTCCTAAGCTGAGAGGATTAAACTCCATGTGAAATTCAACAAAACTTGCTTACAAGCCAGCGAGCGCAAATGCTTGTTTGTTAAGAGGAGGGTCCCCCGGCATTATTCCTGACCAAGGGCCAAAAAGGCAAATACTGTTTTCTGCCATTCTGAGTGGCCCAATGCTCAGAAGCCCCCGAGTTCAAGCCCTAAAATATATTGAATGGCAAAACGACCAAACACCCCTAAATTTAAGAAGAACACCTGGAAGCCTGGGACCTGCGGGCAGCAGTTGAGAAGGGTGGATGAAAGACTTCTGCAAACTCCCCAAATCCCTCTGCCGTTTGCGCTTTCCTGGGGACACTGGGCTGACTTTCAAGTCCCCTTGAACAGCTTCTCCCTGGGAAGGTCGTCTCCTCACCCCAAAATTCAGTTGAAAAGTCCTAACCTGTTGTACAAAGAGAAGTTTGATCCAGGGATTTCCCAGGATTCCCCTGTTTAGTATTTCATCCATTCTTTCACAATCGGAAGGTTAATTTCAGCACTGCCCCAGACCGGAATGGAATCAGAATCACAGCCAGAGCACACCGAGCAATTCTTAAGACCTTTATTTAAGAGATGCTTGCAGTTTGACGTGAAAAAATCAGGTGTATTCATACAAATTAAAAATGAGGTTCTTAAAAATCCCAACTTGACCAGATATATATGAAACAATTTAAAAACCTTTAAAGGTATATTGAGAAAAAACAGGCCTTTTAAAAAACATGTTTGTCACTCCCAAAAGGAGGAGACAGCTTTATAGGTAAAAATAATAGAAATCCCGTGCTGCATAGATAATGCAGAGAGTTCGAGGAGTTATCTGGTCAACAGCAAAAAGCAAGCACTTAAGGTCTTCCGTTCCAATTCTTCTTCCGTTCAGATTTCTTATTGCTGGAATTTCAGATTCTGTTTTATTTCAGACTCACTCTCTTCTTTGATGACTAAACTGGAAACAGAAAGAAAGCCACAAGTAATAGGACCTTGTCTCCCCCCTCCCGCCCCCCCCCGCCAAAATCCACCGTGGGTCATGGCTCAAGGTTCCCACCATCCCTTGCCCATCAAAAGCAATTAAATCCAGAGAGCTGGAAGGTTCAGATCACATCTTAAGCAGGCAGACAAAACAGGCAATTGCACACTCCTGTTTTCTTCAGGTGAGGCCTGAAGCCGCCTCCTCCTCGAGGACTGGGCCAAAGGGCCACTTCCAAGTTCACCGCAGCAGAAAATCAACCGCGGGACTCGCAGGGGAAACGGGCTCCCCCAACAGGACGTAATGGGCTACGGAACCATAATGCAGGCGGTTCTAACCAAGCGCCCTTATTTGGGGATGGGCACCTGTTGTCCAGACAAAGCCGATTCTGCTTTGACTGAAGGCAGCCCACTCTTCTTCCCATTGCTATGTCAGACTCCAGCTCTCCCCACACCCAGGGGTGGGATTCAAATAATAATTCAACAACCGGTTCTCTTCCCTCAAGATTTCTTCCAACAACCAGTTCACCCAACTGCTCAGAAAGTTAACAACCGGTTCTCCCAAAGTGGTGCGAATCCCACCACTGCCCCCCCCCTCTCTCTCTCTGCCCCTCACCCGGATGATGGTAGAGATGGTAAGCCGGCATTTACTCAGCCCCGCCCTGCTCGGCCTCGGGAGCGGACGTGTTCTCAGCTGATGGTTCGGCTGCCTTGGTCTCTTTGCCATCTTGTGGTTTAGGGTTCTCTGGGCGTCTGCGTCGGTAGTTGAAGTTGCGACGGTACCGACGCTGAGGTGGCTGCTGACCCTGGACCTCATCTGCTTGGTTCTCCTTGTCTTCTTCGTTGCCTTCCTCCCGGGGCTGTCGCTGGCGAGGAGGGCCCCTGAAAAACCCGGTCAGGCTTGAGGCATTTCACCTCGGCTTTTACAGCCGGGCCCCCTCCAGATGCTGCAGGGCCGGCGGCACAGCCTGCAGGGACTCACCTGCGATAGCGCGGTCTGTAACCCCGATACAGGTTCTGTCTGACAGGCCTGCCTTGTTCCCCTGCACCCTGGTTGTCGGCGCCCTGCGGGATGGAGGAGGAAACTGCTGAAGCCGGCCCGTAAAAGCCAGCTCTCGGAATCCTAGTCTGGCCATCGTGCATTAACTGAGGGCTCCCATTAAAGTAAAAAAAAAAACCACTGCTTTTAAAAAAGCTTGTTCCGAGCCAGCTTGGAGGCCTGTTCCCAGCAGCCCCCACAGCTTCATCACAAGCCCCGGCTGAGCCCATGCAACCCTCCTCCTGATTCCCACACAACTTTCCTTCCACAGGCGCCCTCCCCAACCTCCCTCACCCCCTTGAAACAATAAACAAAAGAGCAAGCAATCCGAGCACCCAGTAAGCGTTACCTCCACTAGGTCTCCTTGCACAGGGGCATTGGAGTACTGTGGCCGCCGGCCGTAGGGCCGACGCATGTAGTAAGGGGGGTACCGCCTCCTGCGGTAGGGACGGCGCTGTTGGGACTGCCCTTCCGGCAAGTTCTCTGACCCTTCATTCTTTTCCCCGCTCTCGCTGTTTTGGTAATTTTGTGGGTAATTGCGTGGAGGGCCTCTGCGCCGAGGGTATCGTCTGTATTGGTTACGGTCTGCTGCGTATTTGCTGCCTTGCACAGGAACACCGCCAGGACCTGTAACATTGGCTGCCTCTGCTCCCTAAAAGGGAAAGTCAGCGTCAGCTGCCTCCCTTTGGGGAAAGGGGCTGCCCCCCCCAACCCCCAAGGAAGGCTCCTCACCCACCTTTTCGCCTTCAACCACATCAAACTCCACAGTTTCTCCATCTCCTACACTGCGAAGGTATTTCCTGGGGTTATTCTTCTTGATAGCAGTCTGAGGAGGAGGAAACGAGGAAAGTGTTAGACATAACAAGCAAAGATATTCAGGTGAACATATTCTGTGTTTGAGAAGAAGGTGGAGACCAACGTGGCCTGGAAGTTGACTGAAAAGTCAACAAGAAATATAGGAGAGGCAACTGTGGGATACGGAAAATGTCAGCAGATACGGAACAAGAGAGTTGGAAGGCATCCCGGAGGCCTTCTGGCCCAAGCCTGTGTTCAAGTAGGGGACCTGAGGCCATTTCCAACCTTTTTTTCCTGTTATACACACAGGAATGCCATTAATTTGTTCCTAACTGATGCATGAAGCAAAACAGATTGAAAGTCTGTGTCCCAGTGACAAAAGCACACAGAAGGTGGGAAGGGCAGGACAAGGACCTACAAGCTCACACGTTCCCTTCGCAAAGCCTGTGGCAGACAAATAATACTAAAGAGAGGTTTAAGAAATAAGTAACCAGAAAGAATTCTGCACTTCTATGGACATGCGCAGGCTCTCAGAATTATAGTTTGGCCATCATGCATTAACTGAGATCTCCCATTAAAAAAAAAACTATATTCAAAAAACTGAAAAAGTTTCTTTGTTCTGAGCCAGCACAGGCTTTCTCCCTCCAATACACTTCTCTTTGTTTTGGTAAGGCAGAAAATGCTACCGTTTCCTCAAAAGTTAGCAAATCCAGCTGCATAAACAAGCCACCTCACCTGGTGGACAAACACGTCTTCCTTGGTGTCATTCCTGCAAAACAAGGAGGATCCATTTCAGAAAACATTTGACACAAAAGAACCGGCATTCCCTGGCAAGGAGTGGTACCGCATTTGGACAGAGGCCAAACTCAGGCTGGGCCCTTCCAAGGAGAGAGAGATCGTCCCCAGACTGCGCCCTCCGCTTTCTTGAGCTAGCTAAAAATACAGGAGACGACGATTATTTACTTGACGTTTCAGATTTCTTCTGTGCAAACTCCGGCAAGCCCGACTGCAATCAACAGACACAGCCAAGGCTGGAAAGGTAGGCCAGGCGTATTGTTGGCTACATGACGGCTCTCTTCTGCAGAGGCATTTTCATGAATGTTTAATGCTTTGCAAAACTCGCAGGAATGCAAAGGCCACACAACAGGAAAACAGGTGTGCGTTTGAGCTGCAGCATGCAAGTGTGTGGATTATGTTCTAAACCCAATTTCTACTTTCAGGCTGGTGTTTACATAGGACAGAATAAAAGCAGTGGGGGTTCCTCTGCCTGAAAGGAGCCAAAGTCTTTAGGAGCCCAGCCCAGATGAATCATACCACTTGGCACAAGAGCGAGGTCGACAGCTGCAACCAGGAAACATCAACCTTTCCAGAAAAACATTTTGCCAGGTGGTGCACCTCCACGTGGGAACTGCCACAGTTGGGACACGTAATTTTAAATTTCCTGCCCAGAGAGAATGATTTGCACAAGGAAGGGAAGGTCACAGGTGGTCCAGCCATGCAAAGGCGAAAGACCTTTTCAGCACCTTAAAATAGGTAGTAGTTTTGAGAGGACTATAAAAATAAGGGAAACGCCCAGAACTTGACTGAATGTTAATGTTGCATTTCAGAACATTTATTGGGCATTATTTGTAGAGTGCTGGTAAAGTACGACTCAGAATCCAAAGAATGCATGATTAACTGGATGCAGAACTTGAATGCAGTAGTCAGAGAGCACAATAGGGATTTCAACATAAGCTTGACTCAAGTTCCTGGAACCAGGTTTGTGTGTGCGACAATTCTTGCAAGCCTCTCTCTGCTTATTGGAAGGGTCATCTGCTCCCTTCCACGCAAGAAAGTCGTTTCTAACCCTAAGAACCAGGATGCCACTTGTGAGCTTCTAGACCGGACCAGCTGCCATCCAGGTGCCCCCATCCCCGATAGGTCATCTGGTCAGGGAGGGTGGGAACTAACAGTCCAACACACCTGGTGGGGGATCATGTGGGCGATGGTGTCTCTAACTCAATAGAAGATAGCTATAAACTGAAAGTAGCTCTGACTTTACTCCCAAAGCAGTTGTAAGAAGATACACAGAGCCCCAACTCTGGTCACCTTACCTGTTGATGAAGCCATAGCCATTCCTTACGTTGAACCATTTCACTGTCCCCAAAACCTTCGTTGCTGCGAAAGAGAAAAGGTGCAAGACAGGTAAGAACCAGCCCAGCTCAAGACCTCCATACTTCTTGATTTGGACTTTCCACCTAAAAGCCCCGCTCTATAGTATGCATTTATCTTTCAGCTGCAGCAGCAGCAGCAGCAGAGCTTTCCTTATCCTCCATTCAAAGGTGTGTTTTCATCCTGGCAGCGAGAGGAATTTCGTTTCAAAGCCCTGACCTGCAAGGAGAACCTGCTGCCAGAACTGCAGAGAAAAATCACAGCAGGCCTGAAAGGTTTCCAATACAGAAGTAATAATGAAGAATCACCCCCCATGTCCCAAAGGTGCTTCCCCCCCCCCCCCCCCCCCCAAAGGGCGGCTGGGCTTTCTTGATGCTTTCTTTCAAAACGTTTTGCTTCTCATCCAAGAAGTGTCTTCAGTTCAGAATGTTCTCAAAGAAAACATCAAGAAAGTCCGGCTGCCTTTTTTGGGGTGGGGGGTGGGGGGATGAAGCACCTTTGGGACAACCAGCACCTGAATGATTGAGAAGCTCCATAGGCGTTTATCCCTCCTGATGTGCTGGGATTTTGTTCCTGGCCAAAACTGCAGAGAAAGCAGCAGCCCCACTGGCGATACTCTATTATTAAATGATACAATGCTCCAGTGATCCTGTGAAAAACAGTTCCAAGTCTTTTTTTTAGTGCCATTTCACTTGAAATGGTCATTAAATGAACTGCTGTAAGTCAAGGACTCCCTGTATTGAAAATAATATATATTAAGGGCACGTTAACTATATATTGAATTTTAATGCCTTCTTACGCTACAGGGGGCAACCTTAGGACCTCTGCTCTGCCCATAAGGCCCAGCCTGGGCCTGGAGGGAAGGATTCCTGGGGGCCAAAGGGGGCTCAGCCCCTGCCAGGCGGGCTCTGCCAAGACAAGCAGGGGGAGCCAAGCCAGGACTGGAGGGGGGGGGTGTCTGTCCCCCTCCTCCTCCTCCCCTCCCTGGCAGCCATCTGCTCCGCGCAGCCAGCAGCTGACGCCTTCCTGTGCCAGCAGCACCAGCCCCCCTCCCAACGCCGCTTCCCCAAAGACCAGCCAAGGGGGCCGATTTCAAAGCCCCCCTGGCCCCAGGCAGGCCCCCAGCGCGCATGTCAGTAAGCAGACAAAGGAAGGAGGTGGCAACCGGCGCTTCTGGCCGTGGGGAGCAGCCGGCAGGGGCTTCTGTGCTCGCCCCCCGCCCGCCTCTCCCGGCGGACGACCTGCACCCAAAATCAACCACGTTGAGCCGGGCCAAGCTCTGCACACGCGCAGAGGTGCGCGCGCAAAAAAAAAAAGGTTCCGCACGCGGCGGACATCTTGATCCTCCTCGACCCCGCCCCCTCCCACGCGCTCTTTTTTCCTCACCCCCTCCCACCACACACGGCGCAGGCGCGCTAAAGAGCACGAACCGCCTCAAAACGGCCGCGGCGCGCGCCTAAAGCGGGGTGGGAGAGGAATGGGAGAAGCGGGTGAGCCAATCGGGGAAGGGAAGGAGGGCGAGCGCGGCCAATCAGCGAGCGGGACAGCAGGACGTGCGCGAGGGGGAAGGGAGGGTGAGGGGATAACTAAGGGAAGACGGCACGCGCCGCCCGAGGTTCCGCCCCCCCCCCCCCCCCGCGCCCCCGCCCCCCCCGTTCCCCCCCCCCCTCTTTTTCCCTCACCGATGACCTTCTTGTCCCCGCCGGCGGGGGGCGCCGCCAACCCCAGGCCGCCGTTGGTTCCGTTGCCGCCGCCTCCGCCGCTGCTGTTCCCGCCGTTGCTGGGCTTGGCATCCGCGACGGCTGGGGAGGGGCCCGTGGGCGACGCCAACGGGGCCGCCGCGGGCGGGGCGGCCGGCGGGGCCGCCAGAGTGGCGGCGGAAGGGGGCGCCTGGGTTTCGGCCTCGCTGCTCATGGCGTCGCTGGCTGTCGGTGGACGGTGGTGGTGACTGGCTTTCGCAGCAGCAGCGCCGCCTCCCGCGCGGTGTTGATGGTGACTCGGGGGCCGGCCGTGGGCGGGGGGGGCTGCTCCCTTGCTCCGGGCTCGCTGGGCTCCGCTCTCCGCTCCCGATACCGATCGAACTGGCCACAATGGCGGCGCGCACTTACTAGCCACCCCTCAAGCGCCGCCCCCCGGCCTGCACTCATTGGCCGCCACGCGCTGCTCGTCAGGTGCCTCGCGGGCTCATTGGACCGCAGTAGGGGACCGAGGCGATCGCTGGCGCCTCGTTGGCTAGGGCCAGCCGCCCGTCAGAATCCACGCTCTGCTATTGGTTGGCTCCTTCGACGTGTCCCTCCCCCCGCAGAAAGGGCGCGCCCCTGCATGCGGGGTTGCCCCCCCGCGGGGCCCCTGTTTGGCCGGGCCCCCCCCCCCCCCCCCCAGGAGAAGCGGAGCCCGGAAGCCTCTTTCCCGGGCTGGCCCAGTCCGTGGCCCACGTGGTCAGGGAGCTGCGCGGGCCAACCCTCCCGCAAGCCAGCCTCCCGAGGGACCGCAGCCCCTGGGATTCCCCAGCCGGCGCTACCGTTCGCCCCGCTGGCCGGGATCGGCCTCCTTCTCTCCGGGTCAACCTTGAATTACGCCGTCTTCGGTCTGACTTAAGCATGGTATACAAAATCATACATTGCAATGTCCTACCTGTCAATGAATACTTCAGCTTCAACCATAACAACACAAGAGCACACAATAGATACAAACTCAAAGTAAACCGAACCAAACTTGATTGCAGGAAATACGACTTCAGCAATAGAGTGGTCAATGTCTGGAATACTCTTCCCGACTCTGTAGTTTCTTCCCCAAACCCCAAAAACTTTAACCTTAGACTGTCTACTATTGACCTCACCCCTTTCCTAAGAGGTCTGTAGGGGGCGTGCATAAGCGCACCAACGTGCCTACCGTCCCTGTCCTATTGTTTCTCTTATTCTTCTTTTATTTTTCTTATATGTACCCATTTCATGTATTCACAACTATGTATACACTTATACTTATTATCTTGTAAACAATTGGCAAATCAAATAAATAAATAAATAAATAAAAATAAACTTTGCCCAGGCTCCGGGTCAAGCAACTTTGCCCAGGTTCCTGGGCAAACGGGCTGCGTTTCTATTTGCTTGGTCCTGCCGCTTTCAAAAGCAGATGGCCGGGGGGGGGCAAAGTGTTCCCCCTCCCATGCCGCCTTTTCCAGGAGCCCCTAATAGGCACCTGTCAATCTCCAAGGGCTGCCTGCTGGAAGAGGAGGACAAACTGGCCCTCCGTGGGAGGGGAAGGGGGGGTGGAACAACCCCTATGTTAGGAATTTGGCAACGAGGCTGACTCAGTTACAATCTTCCTGCCCTGCAGCCTTTAGTGAGAGATGCTGCCCGTGGCTCACAGTGGTTACTTGCTTCGTGGGAGTCACTGGAAACCAGGGCCAGAACTGGCAGGCCCAGGAGTGAAAAGAAGGAAGGGAAGGGTGAGAGAAAAAAGGTATAAAGATCAGGGCCTGAATGGCCACTCCCATCCCCACCTTCCTGCAAAATGTCCTCCCCATTTCCAGGACCTCAGAGCTGGGTGACCCTCCCTGGAGGCATGATGACGGACAGACGTTGTACGAAAATCTTTTTATTTACAAAGGGAGGGAAGGGGAAACAGACACATGGAATATGGGGGGAAGGATAAGCGGTCAGGAACTGCTTGGCATCCCCAGAAGAAGAAAAAAATCAATCTGGAATCAGGAAAGAGGTGAACAATTAGTTACCAGTGCTAAATTTTCTCCAGATTTGAAGCCTATGCAGAGTCTGGGGCAGGGCTGGCATTGGCGGCCTCCCCTTTAAGTGACACCCGATGCAGACAAGGAGGGTCTCAGGCACAGAGCAGCTTCCATCACTGTCTCCTGCCTTCTAGAGAGTAAGAACTTTGTGCCAGGCTGGACAACAAGGAAGCTTGCATACTCTTGTAAGTTCCGTGTTTGAATCCTTGCAGAAAACAACCATGCTGGCTGGGGAATTCTGGGAGTTGAAGTCCACAGGCCTTAAAGTCGCCAAGATTGGCCATCCCAGGCGTAGATCCTCCCATCTTGCTCAGGGATCCCCTCCCCTTCCCAGGGAGCATTTTAGAGGCTACTTGGTTGCAGAAAGACCTACCTACATCTCTCCACACTGGGCGATCATCACAGGAAGTTTCGGTTTGTTATTGGGCCCGGTGGGCACGTTCTGCAAGAAGCACAAAGCAGGTGAGCAGCTGTCCAGAAAGGAGAAAAAGCAGCAGCAACCTGGCCCAGATAGCCGTTACCTGGGTAGATTTGGTACTTATAAAAGAGAATATTTCTAGCTTGGGGTTGAACCGTGGAGTCTTTGGGGCCCTCTAAGCTGTGTGGTTTTCTTGCAGAAGCTTCAGGACCCAACTAAATAAACGAGAGCAAATCCCATTCCTTACTAGCACTGGTCATGTTACTTAGTTTGGTAATGAAATGTCCTCAAGAAAACAAGACAGCATCAAGGACCCGACAGTCCTCCCCCTCTCTGCAACCCCCACCCCTTCTAGCACTGATGATGTTCCCTAGTTGGCCATGAAACGTCTGCAAGAAAAACCACCAGGCTCGGAGAGCACCCAGGGCCCGACATTCAGGTTCTGTCGCTTTCTTGGGCAAAAACAGCCAGCAGAAAGGAAGGCTGCCAGGTGACACCACCAGGGGCTCCACACCACCTGTTGCTCTCCTAAGCTGCCTGGGCAGGATTTGAACCCCGAAGGGCAGGATAGGAGAGTCTGAGAACCCTCGGGCTGGAACAGCAAATTAAAATAATGTTTCCTCTAGAAAGCGAAACCGCCTCGTTTTTCTGTGGTTTCTTGGATGGCAGAGTTTCATCCCAAAACCAGAGACAAGCACGGCTTACCTCAATTTTCCTCATGACTAGAAGCCCGTCAATTATTTTACCTGCCAGGGGAGAAGAAAAGAACAAGCATTTCTGACTTCCTTAGCCAAGGAAGAGCCTTGCAGGGGTGCTCTTTAACCTCTGAAGGGGAGAATGAGAAGGAAGCAGAGAGGCGGGGGGGGGGGGGGGGGGGATTTTAAGACTTGTGGGCTCCGAGTCCCAGAACTCCCCATGCTGTTCCCTTAACCTGTTGCGGGTCCTGAGGCAGCAAGGTGGGGTGGGAGACCCAGAGCAAGCATTTTGGGAAGTGCAGAAAACGGAAATTTTCCAGGGCAGATTTGCCACGAATTTCGGGTGGGGGTAAGGATCAGGATAGCACACCCGAGCTAAGGGGGGTGGTAGGGTACACCAGGGCTCCCTGGCCACCAGCCAGCTGGCGGTTACTCACCGAAAACCACGTGTTTCCCATCCAGCCAGTCGCACTTGGAGCAGGTGATGAAGAACTGGCAGCCGTTGGTGCTGGGACCGCTATTGGCCTGCAGAGAAAGGGGGAAGGGGCAGGCGAGGAGAATGATCTGTGGTCAACCCTGGCCCGGTCACCGATCAAACGCGGCCCTCCCTGGCCATTGCAGGGAGAGAGTTCAAAAGTGTCTTCATTTGGAGGGTCTCCAATTCAACACTGCATTGGGTTCTATGCAGGACCTGGGCATTGAAAAGGGGTGGTGGTCTTCCTGCTGGACCCCCCCCCTCCAGCCCTTCTGAAGTAGCCCCTGCTTGTCTGCCAAAACTGAGCAAGGCTGGAGCAGCAGCTCCTATAAATAGCAACCTAGCAGCGTGATCCAAGTGGGTTACGGGGAGGAGAGAGAAAGGGTCTGGGGTCAACCCTTTCCTCCCAGGCACCAGTGCAGATGAAAAATCAGGAAACTCAGTCACCCTCAACTTTGGGGCTAGCCCAAGAGGAAGGGAAATGCTCTGGATCCCCGCTTTTCCTGGTACACAGCTGGGGGGAGGGCCTGGTCTTGAAGGGGCCTCCTGGCTGCAGCTCCTTTTGTTGATGGGAAAGTGTCAAGCCCACAGGAGGGAACCCCCTCCGCCCCAAATCTATCACGGAGGGGAGGAAGGCAGAAATATATTCCTAGATTTGATCGCCCACCCTGGTGGCTGTCCCACTGAGCTCTCCTAAGCACGCCCTCCCCGATACGCATCTGTATTTACCATGGAGAGCAAGCCAGGTGCCGAGTGTTTCAGTTTAAAGTTCTCATCTGCAAAGGGTCCCCGATAGATGCTGGCCACTCCGGTGCCATCTCCCTATTGAGAGAAAAGACGGAGGGAGGAAAGGATGATGAAGAAAGGAGGAGAAGGGAAGGAAGAAGGGGAAGAGGGGAGGAAGGACGCATGAACCATGGGGCAGTTCCCTTGGCAAACAGATATAAAACTGCTTAGCTGGAATAAGCCTGCTCTAATGACCAATTTTTTTTTTTTAAAAAAAAGACATTCTAACTATACCGATACAATTCGCAAGGACACCTGCAAACCCCTCCTTCCTTTAATATGCTGCATTACAAATTGGCTTCCCCCACCCCACCCCAGAAGGCATTTCCCTCCCTGCAAGCTTTTGAGAGGGAGCCCCAGCATCTTGCCAGGAAACCTCGGGGGGGGGGGGGGGGGGATGGAGTTCACTTTGCAACTGTCTTCCCTTCCGCAATGTGGAAGTTAAACAGAATCAAGGAAAGGAGAAGTTTAGAGCAACCACTTCCTCCCAGCAAAGGCTTAGTCTGAACATTTTAAGTTTTCTCGATAAATTTAGCTCGGGGTTTTTAGGCATGCACATCCAGTTCCTTGGCATAACTTCCAATCTCATCTGCATAAATTTGGCAAATTCACATTCAAGTTGCAAAGCTCCAGTTCCAAGTCAAATGCCCACTTTCCCTTCAAAGAGCTTTGAAGTACCTACGTTTACAAAATCACCCCCTTGGATCATGAAGTCCTTTATGACCCTTGAAAAGGAAGAGAGAAATATGAGGCCGAGGTATCCAACAGCGACGCCTAAAACACCAGCTTGGGAAGTTCAGAAACAGGTTGTAAAACTCTGGAACAGGATTCTTTTCCACTGAAGTGAAGCACCTCGGCATAACGGAATAACCAAGCGGGAAGGGACCTGGGAGGCATTACAGCCATGCAGAGAAACAAATCCAGGGTTTAAAGGACTCCTCCCAAGTTTCATTCATTAGTGGGAACTGGTGGGCTTCTTGCATTTTTAATGTGCCGTATGAAGGATTAGAAATTAATCATACGAGTTGCCCTCAAAGGACCATCTCCATCGCCCAGCAATGACCACGAAAGCCGCCGAAATGGTGAGCAACTCAACGGGGATGCTGAATTGATTCTTGTCGCCTCTAAAACAGATTCCTTTATGAAAGGCCTAGAGATCCTAGTGCTCAGGAACCCCACCGATTGGGCGATTCTGGGAATTGTAGTTCCAGTCCTGCGTAACCGAGCACGACTCCTCCGTTAAACACTGATAAGTGAATACGCCCGTTGAAGCAATTCTGGATGGGACTCTGTTTCAAATACTGCACACCTTAGCTTAAAGGCCACACTAGATGGGGTGGCTGACAGGTTTAGAAAGTAATTCAAATTCATTTAAAGCACCATCTCCTTCAGCCCCAGATGTGGGGGCCTGGGGTGTGTGTGTGTGAAAAAACTAGCTTTCCGGAGCCCAAAAGCTAACGTACCTGTGAAAAGTGCTGCCTTTGTAACCGATGGGAACACCGTCTTTCCTGCAAGAGAAAAAAAAAGCAGAGTCAGAAATTGGCAGGTACCACAATAGCCGGTGACCGGGATTTCTCTGGGTCCAAAGAGACAACACACCCCAACTCACCACCTGTCATTCCTCATTGTTTTCTTCTGAAATCACAGTGTCAATCACCAGTTGAGCTCTTTAAAATTGGCTGATCTGCTCGGACAGAAGTGTGGTCCAAGGACAAAATGACAGAGAGGGCCAGCAATTCCCTTCACAAGCCTATTATGATTTTTATTTACCCCTTTTATTATGTTTTCCTTCCACCTTTTATTGGCTGTATACTATCATGTTGTTATTATAATTCTATTCTGTTGTTTCGCAAGAGCACTGAGTGCTTTTGTGCCGGAGACACTAATTCCTCGTGTATCTAACCACACTTGGCTAAACAAATACCCAAAGTATAAAATATAAAGTTAGGCATTGTTAGGCTGTGCTGCCAGTCTTCCAGCTTGATCAAATCATTTTTATTTTTGGGGGGTTGAAAGATCAACAGAATCCACCTACCTGAATTCACCTGTGCAAAATTGCCTGGAAAGAGAAGACAAAGAAAAGGCTGCAGGTTCAACGAGGACGCAGAGAGGCTGATTGTTGGGAGGGAGTTACAATCGGGAAGAGAAGGAATTGGGCTTCCTATACGGGGAGTCCTCCATTTTATGGTCATAACTGAGCCCAAAATTTGTTGCCAAGTGAACTTTGCCCCCACTTTATGACCTTCCTTGTCGCAGTTGTCAAATGAAGCACTGCGGTTGTTTCACTGAACCGCACATCCATTGAACCTGCCTTCCCCTCCCCTTGACTTTGCTTGCCAGAAGGTCACAAAAGGGGATCATGGGACCCCAGGATGCTGCGGCCATCATAAACAAGAACCCCTGGCCGAGCGCCTGGATTTTGATCATGCGACTGCGGGGGTGCTGCAACCCTGAAAGGCAGCGTCCTGCCGCTTTTTTCAGTAACTGAACGGTCATTAAACGAAAGGTGGTAAGTCAAGGACTACCTGTCTGTGTCATCAAGACAATGGGCAACTAAGTGGTGGGGAGTTCCGCAGGAAAGGGACATCTAGGAGCAGAGTGAGGGCTGCTCCCTCCACCACCAGGGCAGGGCTTGTGGATCCCTTTCCGCTGGGAGCTTTGTCTTTATCGCCCTGCACCTATCATCCCCAGCCACCTGTCAAAGCAGCGGCGCTCTAGGATCTGCCGCTCTGGCCTCCCTTCTCTATGGCACCCGTCTTCCCGCCGGCTTCCTCACCTGAAGTTCTCGGCCGTCTTGGGCACCACGTCGGCGAAGAGCTCCACCTTCATGCGGCCCACCTCCTACGGAGGGACAGAGGCGTCAGCGGCCGAAGCCTGGTTCTCCCTCCCGGCCCCGCTCCCTTCGCCCGAGACCTACCTGCCCGCCGATGGTGACATCGAAGAAGACCACGGGGTTGTTGGGGTTGGAAGCCAGCACCGCCATGGCGACCCCCTCCGACCCGGAAGCGGAAAGGCGCGCCGAAGACCTCCCCACGAAGTGCCGCTTCGCTGGAGCGCATGCGCAGCTCCTTCAGCGAGAGTGTCGATTTATAGCCTGAAGTCAATGCACCTGCTCGTTCGGCTGGGCCCCGCGGACATGGTGCAGAATTTTTCCTTTTGCAAAATTTTATTTCCAAATAGTTAAAAAAAGACGTTGATGGCCACGATTTCCCAATAAGGATTATGCTTTAAGCTTCACTCAAGAACAGATGGGTCTCTGGACATCTTCCTTCCTTCCTTCCCTTCTTCCTCCCTCCCTCCCTTTTCTTCCTTCCCACCATCCCACCCCTTTCTTTCCTTCCTTCTTTCCCTCCATCCTGCCCTCCTTTCCTTCCTTCCTGTCCCTCCCTCCCTTCTTTCCCTCTTTCCTCCCTCTCCCTTTTCTTCCTTCTTTCCCTCCCTCCCTTCCCACTTTCCCCTTTTCTTTCCTTCCTTCCTTCCCTCCATCCCTCCCTCCTTTCCTTCCTTCCTTCCTTCTTTCCTTCCATTCCCTCCCTCCCTCCCTCCCTTTCAATCCCTCCAGGACACAAACTGGACTCGGAGGGCCACAGTTGTAGAAACAAATAATTGTTTAAAAAATACATTTGACATTCCCCCCCCTCCTCCGCCCTTCTTTCTCCCAAGAAGCCCCTCCGTCGCAGAGGGCTCCCTGGGGCAGAGGGAGAGAAGCCCAGCCGAGGACAGAGAAGAGGCTTCGGGGCCCTTCAGCCGACGGGGTGGCCGGGCTCGTCCTCGCGGAAGTCGGGCAGGTTCCTGGGGACGTCCACGCAGCCGATCCTGGGGGTCTGGAAGGCCAGGGGGGAGAGCAGGGCTTTTTGACCGGGCTCCGCCGGCGGCCCATCCTTGATGGCTTGGCGGAGGCTGCTGGGGTCCAAGAGCCGGGTGACCGAGAAGCTGAAAGGCAAAGGGGGGACTTCAGCTTCCTCTCGGCTTCAGAGGCGCTAGGGGCAGCTGTGAAGGGAGGCCCCGAGGCGGTGCCAGCTGCTGCTCTTCGAAGGGGGTAGACTGCTCCACGACAGGGAGGCTCCGCTTCACTTGCTGGGTCCCCTTGGAGAGCCGCGGCCCAAGTGACCCGCTTTGGGCCCTCGCAGAGGCCCTTCCGTTTGCCCCCCCAGAGCGCCAGCTCCCCTTCGGCCGCCCTCCGCAAGGATTCACTCTCCCCCATGTCCGACTTTAGGACTCTTCTGCTTTTATTTCTCTGCCTCCCTGCCTCGCGTGGCCCACAGGCAGGAGGAGCCTGCAAGGACAGGGGTCTCCAGGGGGGGAAGTGAGGCTGGGGGGGGGTCCAAGGAGGGCCGGCGATGCCACCCTGGCTGCTGCGGCTGCTGCGGCTGCTGCTGCGGGGGGGAAGGGAGCGCCTGGCGTCATCGCTGCCTCCTGCCCCTTCACAGGCCCAGCCGCCTGGGGCTGTACCTGAGGCTGGGGAAGGGCAGGAGCTTCCTCTGCAGTGGGCAGTCGGGGAAGCCGAGGCTCTTCAGCTCCTGGGGAGAGACGAGCACAAGAGTCAACCAGGCACCCTCGGCCACACCTGCTCCGGCTCTCCCGGCAGGCGCAGGCCGCCATCCCTCCTCCTGGCTGCGCCCCCCCCCCCCCCCCCCTGGCCGGGCCGGGGGGGGGGCCGCCCGGCCGGCCCCCGGCGGGGGGGGGGGGGAGGGGGGGGAGGCTTACCTCCAGGCTGTGGACGTGGATGGTGCGCAGGGCCCGTTCCAGGATGCCCACCTGCAGGCTCAGCTGGAGGGCCCGGTCCTGCAGCTGCCTGTTCTCCCCCTCCAGAAGCTGCACTCTGGGGGGGGGACGAGGGGGAAGCTGCTCAGGGTGGGCCCCCCCCCGCCCAAAACGCCCCCCCCCCCCCCCCCCCCCCCCCCCCCCCCCTCCCTCCCTCCCTCCCTCCCTCCCCCTTTCCTTCCCTCCTGGGCCCCCCAGAGCAGGGGCCGCCCACCCCCGGGTCCCCCTGGGGGAAGGAGGGAGGGGGGCCTCTCCCACCTGCTCTGGAGGGTGCGGAGTGCCCGGCCGTGGCTCTGCTTGGCCTCCTCCAGGCTGTGCAGCTGCTCCAGGCTCTTCCGCTTCTCTCGCAAGAGGCTCTCGTTCTCGCTCGTCACCCGCCGGATCAGCAGCTGGTCCTGGGTGCAAAAGGCGGCACCCCCGCTGGGCTCGTCAGGCCCCCCTGCTGAGAGGGGCTCCCCTGGAGGGGGTTGAGGCGGGGGGGGGGCCTCCGGTAGGTGAGGCTCAAGGCAGCCCACCTGGGCTGGTGGGGGCCCTCCAGGAGGGGCCGGCTCTACCTTTTCGGCCTGGCTCTTGCACAGCCGGACCTCGCTCTCCAGGTGCCGGATGCGAGAGTCACGCAGCTTCACCTCGCTGAGCAGCCTCTCCTTCGCCTGCCGCAGCCGGGCTTTGTGCCGCAGGCGCCGCTCGCTCTGTTTCCTGGGCAGGCAAGGTGAGGGGGGGGGGGGTTAGGGGGCTCGGCCCTGGGGGGAAGCAGCCCACCCCGCCCCCCTGGGCAAGCGGAGGCTCACCTGAGGGAGAGGTCCACCTGCCTCAGGACCTGCCTCTGCTCCTCACACAGGGCCTCCTTCTCCCGCTGCAGGGCGGAGAGCTGCTCCGAGAGCCTCTGGCTCTGGCCCTGGCAGTGCAGCTGCTGCAGGGAGAGGGGGGGGGGGCGGGGGCCCCGCCGGGGGGGCCGGGGGGGGGGCTCCCTCCCTCCGCCTGCCAGGGCCACTGACCTCCTTGGCGAGGACCCGCCTCTCGTCCTCCAGGGCCTGCAGCTTCCCCTCCTGCTGCTGGACCTGGGCCTGCCGGTCAGCCAGGGCCTGGAGCAGCTGGGCCTCCTTCTCCCGCCAGAGCCTCCGCTGCTGCTCCAGGAGCTCCCTGCAAGGGGGGGCGGGTCTAGTAAGGGGAAGCACCCGGACCACAGCTCGCACGCTTGCTTTCTTGCTTCCTTTCCATCCGTCCATCCATCGGGGTCTCCCTCCTCCCGCCCTCCGGCCCCTCTCTCGGCTCTTTTCCCAGGTGGACCCCCAAACCCTACCCCCCCCATAAAGGAACCCCGGCTGAGGGGGGGAAGGGGGGTCTGCTCCTCCTACCGCATCTTCTGCTCCTCCTGCAGAGACCGCCGGGCTTCGGCCTCCTTGGCCTCCTCCTCCAGCTGCCTCCTGCCCAGGGCGGCCTGGGACTCCGAGAGCTGCCGGCTCTCCTGCAGCCTCCGCTCCAACTCCTCCACCTGGGAAGGGCCGAAGCAGGGACTTTAGGGGAGAGGCCCCCCTCCAGCCCCCCCAAAAACACACCCCAGTTGGCTGCTCTCCTTTTGCAGCGGTGCGGCCCCCCTTTGAGGAGGAGGAGGAGGAGGAGGAACCTCCCTGGCGGTGCAGGGGATCCTCGACTTACGACCGTCCGTTGAAAGACCGCGGGGCGCTGGGGCCACTGACCCTTTTCTCGGCCTGGGTCAGCTGCTCCCGCAGGCGGCTCTGCTGCTTGGCGGCCTGGGACAGCCGGAGCAGCTGCAGCTCGAGTTCCTTGGCCTGCTGCTGGCTGAGCTCCCCCTGCGAGGCCAGCGCCCCACAGGCCCTGGAGGCCTCCAGCAGCTTCCCCTGGGCCTGCCTCAGCTCGGCCTGCCCCTGGAAAGGAAGGGGCGCCCATGGGGTCCCAGCCGGGGAGCCCCCCACCCGTCCCCCACCCCGACTGAACCCTGGGCAGGCTCAGGGGCTTCTCCCTGATGAGGGACCACAGGCACACACACACACACCCCGGGTGTGTCCCCGCCCCCCCCGCCCACCTTCATGTTTTCCTGCTGCAGCTGCAGATTCTGGAGCCTGAGTTCCAGAGTCCTCTCCTGCTCCAGCCTCAGCTGCTTCTTGATGGAGCTCGGGGCCTGTCGGGGGGCCCAAAGCAGCCCCGGGGGCTCTTCCTGCGGCGGCTGCGGGGCTCCTTTGTGGGGGGATCCCTGCGTGCAGAGGGGAGGTGATGAGGAAAGGGTGGGGGGGCTCCCCCTCTCCCCACGGGGTGGCCCCCCTTCCGCACCTGCTCCGTGTCCCCACCGGCGCGTCCCAGGGCAGGGCGGGGCGGGTAGGGCTGGGCCGCAGCTCCGTGCCTCTCTCGGCGGGCGCTCAGCTGACGCTTCACGGCCAGGATCTCCCCCTCCAGGAAGGGTCCCTCCTCTCCCTGCTTGGCTTGGACCGGCTTCTCCAGCTCTGCCATCCTGCTGGCTTCGGACAAAGGGAGGCTGCCGGTCAGAGGGCCGGGGGAGAAAGAGGGCATCACGCCAGGAAGTGGGTTGTGGGGGCTCCTTCCGGCCACCCTGCCCTGGCCCTGACCCTGGGGACCAGGTTATCTAAAAAGCCCTCCCCCGGGGACAGGGGAGGCTATGGGTCCCCTCTCTTAGGGAGGGGCCTCCCCCATGGTGGCTCCCTCCCTGTGGAAGGTTAGACCAGCCCGTTTCGACACCCTCTCACAAGATCTGGTTTTGCCAGCAGGCCTGGGCATCCCAGGGTGGGATGGAGCCCATCCAGGGGCTCCTTGGACGGACGGACGGACGGACGGACGGATTGCAGAGGGAGGGTATCGTTTCAGTCTTTTTATACTGAAATTTTGTTTTAATTGTGGCCGAGAGTGAATGGGAGGGCATACCATGGGCTCAGGTGGGTGAACCCCTTTGGTGGGCGATGCTGCCTTCATCTTGGTGGCAGGAGAGACTTTGCAGGCAGAGGAAGGGGGGAGGGGTGCTACATCCCCCTCCCCCCAGAAACCCAGGCTCTTCTCCCACCCCCCACCCCAGTGAGCCCGAGCTCTTGGAGCAGCCCATGCCTGGATCCTGGTTCTGGGGGTCTCTTTTGTGAGGGTGGAGGAAGAGGGGTGCCTGCAGCAGCCCTGCTGTTTGGGGTGAGTGGCGCCTCCTGGACCCTCCAGGCCAGAGGCGATGTCAGTGGGTGACATCAGAAAGGGGCAGGGTCCCCCTCCCCACCTCACACTTCAGAAGCTCACAGAAAGAGGGCAGGGGGGCCTTAGTTGCCCTCAGAGAACCCCCAGCCCTGCTCCCCCTGACCCCCCCGGCAGCTGTGGCTGAACCGCTTTGGAGGACCAGAAAGACCCAGCTGCTTCCTGGATCCTTTCTCAGCTGTGAAGGTGGTGCCTGGGGGTCTTTCCTCCTCCTTCCCTCCTTCCTTGTCGTGCCTTTCAGACTCTGCGCACAGGTAAGATCAGGCCACCCTCCGATATCTGACATCGGGGAGCCTTTTCGGGTACGGGGCAGATAAAAAACTCTGATAAAAATTCTATTTTTAAGCTAAACAGGGGTGAATGAATGAAGTTCCTAAGGCTTGTGGACTTCAACTCCCAGAATTCCCCAGCCGGCCGGTCCCCAAGTCTTAAAAGTTGCCCAGGTTGGACCAGCCCCGTCCTGAGACCTGGACGTTTATTTCCTTCGATTTCGCCCTTGGAATCTTCACTGCAAACATACATCAATTCCTTTTAAAGTCCTCCAAGGTCCCAATCTAAAAACAACTGGCTGTCGAGGGTCCAAATTACCAGACTGGCTGTCCATCTGCTCCCTGGTCCGGCATCTGATCTTCTTCACAAATCTTCACCCTGGCTGGAAATTCGGGGCAGGAGAGTCTGCTTGCCAAAACTCCCCCCTCCTCCTCCTCCTCCTCCTCCCTCTCTCTCAGGAGACGCTGGTTCAGGCGCTCGCACTCGTGGGAGAGCTCCAAGACCTGTGGGTTTCATTTTTAGGGGATGGATTAAACGAATTAAATAAATGTATTTAATAAATAAGTCATTAAGCTAATAATTCTTTAAATACATTTATTTATTAAATGTATTAAATTTAGATTTAAGCAAACAGAGAGCGTGTTGAACTGAATTATATCTATCTGTCGCCTGTGTTTACACGGGAAAAAAGCAGAATGTTTGTCTTGGGTTGAATGTACAGGTGGTTCTCAACTTACGACCACAACATCTGTCCCTAAGGGAGTCATGACCATTTTACATCATTTTTGCACCCCAGGGGAGGGAGCCCTGCACTCCAAAATGAGCCCTAAAATGTTTGCATTCATCCTGCACAGATTCCTCCTTCTGGCCAGCCTTTCATAGAATCTGGTGGCTGGGAGTAGGGCGAGGATGGATTACTACTTTACGACTTAAAACCTTTCACTTAGTGACCATTTGAAGTTACAACAGCACTGAAAAAAGGGACATGGCCGTTTCCCGCATAGCCGCTGCAGCCACACGATCAACATCCAGGCTCTTGGCAACTGACTCATACTTACGACGGCCACAAGTGTCCTGGGGTGTGTGTGTGGGGGGGGGTGTCAGGCGATGCCCTCCTGCGACCGCCTGGCCAGCAGAGTCAGGGGAGGCCAGCCTGACCCAACAGCCGCGTCCCCTCACCTTGGCCTCAAGCCGCCCGTTCTCCTGCAGCAGCTTCCCGTGAGCCAGGTGCAGAGACCCCCGCTCTTCTGTGGCCCCCTGCAGCACCTGCAGCTCCCCGTAGAGGCGGAGAAGCTCAGCCTTGGAGCTGCGCAGCTCCTGCTGGTTCCAGGGGTGGAGGGGAACATGGAACGAGAAGGGAGTCGTTCGGACACAACAGGGATTGGTGGGGAACAGGCCCCCCCAGCACCTGCAGTGGTGGAGCCCAGCCGGGTCCTGAAACGTCTGCAAGAAAGCGGCCGGGCTCAGAGACCCCCGCGGCCCCCTCAAGGACCCCTCCCTTCAGGCCAGCCCACCCCGGGGCTCCCCTCCAAGGGCTGCTGGGAGGATCCAAACGGGAGGCGTCCATTGGGGGATGTGACCCACGTGCTTAAAGCTGCCTCCCAGGTCGCTGGCTGCCTCTCTGCTGGCTGACAAGCCCCCCGGAGGGGCCCATTTCTCTGCCTCTCGAAAGCAAAGCCGGTCGTGCAGCGGCAGTCTATCTGTCGGCAGGTTCTGCTCTCTGGCCTTCCACAGCTCGGACGCAGCTAGAGGGAATCAGAAGGTCGCTTGGGGAGGCCGGGCTCAGTCTGGGGCCTCTCAGCCTCCTCGCCAGCTTGAAGCGGTGAGGATTCCGCCCCCCATGTTCCCCTGCCAGCCGGGCCTCTCTGCTTACTGCCGGAATCAGGGTCCAGGGCCGAGAAGGGTTCTCTGGGGAGTGAAGGTTTTGCCAAGGGCTCAACGGGCTGCTCGGCCCTCTCTTCCTCCTTGCCCAGCGATCCTGGCCAGTTCTCGGCTCCTGGCCAAAGAGATTTCAGAGCTGCCCCCACTGACAAGGGAAGGGTGGGGAACTGTAGACCTGACTTCAGCTCCCAGAATTCCCCAGCCCAGTCGCCTTCCAAGGAAGCGAGAAAGCCAAGAGTGAAAAAGGAAGGAAGCCCAAGAGAGACCTACCAACCGGGCCACGCAGCTTCCCTCGCTCTCCCTCTGCCACGTCCAGATCCTCCTCCAGCACTGGGATCCCATCTTGGGCGCTCCGAAGCCTCTCTGGGGCTCCATCCAAGCCTCGCTTGGCCTCTTCCCAGACCGGATCAGGGCCTTTTTCTTTCACGTTTTCCTCACCATTTCTTTTCTTTTTCCCTTTGCTCACCATCCCTTCGATGTGGTGCAGGGATTGCTGTAGCTGGTGAAATCCCTCCTTTATCCTCGGATGAAAGAGATGCCATTCATCCTTCAGGGAAAAGCAAAAGAGACTTAAAAAAAAAAAAGAAAGAAAGAGGTTCTGGTGACTCTGGAATTCTGTGAGAAGACCAGCAAGTGGCCAGACTGGAGACCCGAACTCTCTCCCAGCGCAACGAACAAGGACAGGGATTCAATTCACTTAAAGCCCTCCCTCCTCTTGGTGCACCCCCCCCCCCAGAACAGAAAAGACCTGCACTTGTAGGGAAGCCACGCAGGGTCTCCCCAGGCAGTGGGGGGTCCCCAGCTCCTGCTCCAGAGCCTCCATCCGCTCCAGCAAAGAGCTTCTCTCCACCAGCAAGTAGGCAACCTGCTCGCTGGGGCTGCTGTGGACGATGCTGGCCAAGCCCTCCAGCGCCAGCAACTCGGCCACCTCCTTATGCTGGGACTCTGGGGAGAAGCACAAGGTAGAGCCCTATCTTAGCCCAGGGCCAGGGCACCTCCTCCCTTGCCCTTCCCTCTTCAGAGGGGGGGAAATTGTCTGCCACTTTTTGCCCCTGAAGGAAAAGCAGTGGAGGAAGGGTCCTTTCTAGCCATGCCTGCGAGGAAGCCTGCCCTGTGACATCACCACCTCAACGCCACCTTGTGGACTTGCACTACAATCCGGTCTGCAGGAACGGGAAGGGTGAAAGGTTGTGTCTCTTGCAAGGAAGTTCCCCTCCGGCCAGGAAAATTCTGGAAAGTGGCCGAGGGCGGGTACCGTGTTCCAACTGCATCTGGGTGAACTTCATCCTCAGCGCTTCGTTTTCCCGCTCGTATTCTGCCGCCAGAGCATCCCGCGCCTCCGTCAAGGCCCGGACGTGATCGACATAATTCTGCACCTGAAAAGGGTCGGAGACAGAGTTTGGCTGTTTTATCTATTTTATTTTTTACGCGTTAAGGCACCGTCTGGCAACCTTGGCAGTTTGAAGGTGGGTGGACTTCGACTCCTAGAATTCCCCAGCCACAGTAAACCCCAACTTTCCAGATCCCGATGGTCACCAGATGGCACTCTGGCTCTGCTCAAGGGCCTCTGCCACCCCCCCCCCACCCCCTTTAGTTCTTCCTCCACGGGTCAGAAATCTGCATAACCAGAAATCCAAGCCTCCTCCCTCCCTCCCTCCCCAGGACTCATTGGTTGGTCAGGGACTGACAAGTCCCAGAGTCGGAATCTGGTTTATTTTCAATTGGAGTGGGGACCTATTTCAAAGCCAGGAATTCAACAGAGCTCCCAGAATCTCCTGTCCCAGAAGAGAAAGCCTCCCGCTAGGGGGGCTGGGGGGCCCTTTGCCTGGAAGGGCCTCCCGCTTGAGCAGGGGGTTGGACTACAAGACCTCTGAGGTCCCTTCTGACTCTGTTATCCTGTTAATTCGGCAGACTCTTTCAGAGCATACATACCTGAACAAAATCGCCCCCTAATTCATGGCCTTCAGTCACAGAAATGGGGGGGGGGGCTGTTTGCAGATTTCATTGTCCAAATGACACCACCTGACACCAGCGGGGGATCAGGGCCAAGGCAGAGGGACGCAACTCACCTTCCCAGGTTCACAGCCCCGAAGACAAACATTGGCAACCGACCAAGACCGACCCCCCTTTCATTGACCCAAAGTCCAAGAACAATCAAACTGGACCCCGAAATCGTCAAGCAGGACGGAGGCAGCCGGTGCGCCTGCCCTTCCTTCTCAGCGGGAGGCAAAGGGAGCTTTTGCAAAGCGGAGGGGGGGCCCGGTGGTGGGCTGCCCAGCAAGGTGGCAAGGGCTGGTTTCCCACCCCCACCCCACCCCCCGCCCGTCAAGATGACGACAGCCGGGAAAGGAAATGGATCATCGGCCGAGCCAGGGAAGCGATGCTTGGCGTGGCCTGCAAGGAACCTGGGGCTCTTATTGTCTTCAGTCGCCGCTTTGAAGGCTGCCGAGGGGGAAGAAACCCACCCAGAGCTCTTCCCTACCCCCAGATCAGACGGGCTCGAGGAGGCAGGAAGCGCCACTCTGTGGAGGCCGTGTCCTTCAAGGGGCTCTGCACAGGAAGGTCCCCTGCGGGCATCTGACACTGAACACTTCATACCCGAGACGCTGAAAGGCCAGGAAAGGCCCCAAGAATGGGCTCTCTTGGGTCCAAGAAAAGCAGGATGCATGACAACAAAGACACCGCCGGGTTTGGTCCGTCTCTGGAGAGGCTTCAAGGGCAAGCGGAGACCAGGCCGAGAGGCCGAACTGGGGCATCGGCCACTCCCAATGGCCTGACGCCTGACCACGGCTGACCCCTTGCCAGCTTCTCCAACTATCAAGCCATGGGAGGACTTGACTCCAGAAGTGGTGGGCGCTCCATCACTCAGGCTGTCAGGAAAAGGCTGGGCAGCCTTTTGTCTAAAAATGGTATAAGGGGATTGGACTAGATGACCTCCAAGGTCCCTTCCAACTCTGTTATTCTGTTCTAATTACATGCCAGTTCCCCAAAAGTCCACTTCGGCAGAGGTGAAGCCAAAAGTCTGAGTTAGAAGCTAAACGTTCACTCCGGTTAAACTTGAAGGTGGCTTGAAAGGATTCACAGCTGGTTTTCGCTTAGCAACTGCTTCATACAGCGGCCATTCAGTTACCAGGGTGTTGTTACCAGGCACCGGTGTGGTGAAAAAATAAGGGGACAACTAACCACCCTGTGACTAATTTAACTGCAGCGATTCACTTAACAACGGCAGCAAGAAAGGTTATAAAACGGGAAAAACCTCATTTAACACCTCCTCACTTAATGGAAATTCTGGCCACAAGGGTGGCTGTAAGTTGAGGATCACCTGTAGTGGGGCACCTACTAATGAACCGCACGACTTTCAGGAGTGCCACTGGGGCATGTTCCCAAGTCCCCTCCCATGGATGGAAACAAGGGACCCCCCCACCTCTCTCATCTCTTCCTCCAGCTGCTGACGGAGCAACGCCCCAGAGGCGGAATGCAGGTCCTCCGGGCCAGGCAGAAACCAGGGCCACGCATGGGCTAGCTGGGTCTCCGAGGGGGCGGCGGTGGTGGTGGTGGCAGCAGCGTCTCCTCCTCCTTCGGCCTCCCCCAGCTGCTGGAAGAGAGAAAAGCACCAGAAGCCCAAGTCAGTTCCCTCCCTCAAGGAGGCCGGCATGGCTGTATAGCCGGGCAACCAGCCTTGGCATCAACATGGCTTATGGCCGGGACAAGCCATGGTTTGGACCAACTCTGGCTTGGCACTCCGGAAGCAACCACAGAAATCGGATCTAAGGAAATTCTAAGCAAACAGATCCCAATCGTCCCCAGCCAGCACTGTCCAAGGCTGGGGAGCATGGAGGTTGGAATCCAATGCACTGAGAACTCCATCCACCTGCATATTCATGCATTAGCATTATATAAAGACTAGAGTATATGGCTTTGTTCGGGTATTTTATAATTTTATAATTCGGCTTTGTTCGGGTATATATAAATATACATATACATATAAATATACATAGTATATATAATGCACACATACAGACAGACCCATGGAGACAGGTTTTTATTTTATTTACTTAGCCATCCCACTTGCAAAGGGATATCAGTGGCTTATAAATTTAAATAATGTTTGCATGCCTTGCAAATTTTTGCCTTTTAATTTAGCTATTCCGGGGTCCAGTGGGTGTGTGTGTGTGTGCGTGTGTAAATAGCACACATACATCTATGCATAAACATAGAGGGAACCTACGCGCCCGTTATATCCTTGCCCAGTCTTGCAAGGTGGAAGTCCATATAACTGGAATAAAATCAGCCAATAAATATTTATAGCCGTATTTTTTTTGGGCGGGGGGGAGGGGGGGGACCGGTGGCGAGTACGTTCTTCAACCGCAGCGCCTTGAGTGGAGCCTCCCCGGGCAGGAGCAGTCTACCCTCCCCTGCGCCCTCCGCTTCCAGCCTGGCTGAATCTCGGGCCCCGCCGCCCCTCCTGGCCCCCCAGGCTGACTCACCGGCCGGCCTCCCTCCATGAGGGCGGCGCGGCATCGGCCGGGCCGGGCGGGAGCGCAGCCCGCAGGGAAGGCCGTGAAACCATGGCAACGCGTGGTCCAGGCGTGAGGAGACGCTGTCGGGAGCCCTGGCAACTGGCCACGCCCCCTTAAAGAAACCGCTTCCCATTTCTTTCGCACTGAGCCCACCAGGGGATTTAGCAAATTGGGGGGGGGAGGGGTTTGCCTCCAAATGAGGAAGGGGACGCTCTTCTCCTGCAGGTAGCCCACCCCGCCATGACCCACACATGAAAATGGAGAGAGACAGAAGCTTTGAAACCTGGTTTATAAATGCGGTACAAGGAATGTCTGAACGCATACATGGGAGAAAGCAACCCGTGCAATCCTTGTCTTAAGGAGGCAAGCCAGGTTCAGGCTCCAGCATCATCCCAGGGATGTCCCACTGTGCTAGAATGCTCTTCAGCGGGGCTTCTTAATCTTGGCCACTTTTAAGTATGTGTGGATTTCAACTCCCAGAATTCCCCAGCAAGCATGCTGGTAATTGAAGTCCACACATCTCAAAGCAACCCCAGTTGAGAAAATGATGTTCTACTGATAATTTCTCCCCAAGAAAGAAGCAACAAGAGCCAGCCACAGCCCCTGTGTATTATAAGTGAGCTCAGAGCCCATCTGAATAGCACTGCGCTAAGAAAACCAGCTGCTTTAACCGTGGTTTACAAAACAGGCCATGAATATAGGGCACGCATGTCAAAACCCCCACATTTTGCCTAGCGCGTGCGAAGCCAAAGACACACAAGGCATACAATTTCTTAAGTTTAGTTTCTGAATTTTTTTATTATTATTCTGAATATTGTCTTCCTTTTTCACAGCCTTCCTCAAGTATCACAATTCTTTTTCCGGTCAATTTTAAGACACAATCCAAGAAGCCTCACAGTTATAGACAGTTTGCAAATGCTGGGCGACCAATTTTACCGTTGGGTCCTTGCCACAAATGAACCATAACATGGCTTGGTTAACCTGGGGTGGGCCATGAAAGCATAGCCATTTCAAGCAAGGCAGAACTGAGCAGGTACAGGAAATCTTTGACTCACGACAAGCAGTATCAGAAATTCCGCCAGTAAGCAGTGCAATCTGTGAGTTGCGCCTGATTTTATGACCATTTTTTGCTTTGGTCATTAAGCAAATCAGCCCTCCCCCCCAATTGATTTTGATTAGCAAAAGCTCCCTGGGAAAGTCGCAACTGGTGATCACGTGACCTTAGGATGTTGGTTGCCAAGCAACCACATTTTCATCCGGTAACCATGGGGATGCTGCAGCAGTTTGTAAGTGAAAGGACCAGCTGTCAGTCACGTTTTTTAGCATTGTCATAACTTTGAACAGCCATTAAACAAATGGCCGTAAGTTGAGGACTACATGTATAAAATTCATACTTCCTAAAGCATCAAAGTAGAAGGTGGAAGATTTTAGCCATTTGACTTTTTTTTTTCTTGCAGGAGAACAGGAAAACATTAACTTCAGAGAAGGTCAGATGGAGACATTTTGGAAGAAAAAGACATTGGAACATTACTGGTCCACCAAACTCCAATGGATCTAGAAGCTCCTATTATTTTGTGTCAACTGGCTTAAATTCAAGGTGGAATGAGATTCAGAAATTGACTAGAAACCTTTTCAATTTTTCCTGAGTGATTTTTACCAAGGCAGCAGGAAAAAAATAAATCAGAGAGGTTGCTGTCTGCCCCATCTCCAAAACACCAACCCCAATCACGCACTAGAGCGAGTCGTGGCTTGGAACATTCCAGTCCTTTAAACTTTCCCACCAATGAGCAGCAAACGGGCCTGGAGATGTGCAAAGAAACCAGGAAGCCGTATCAGATTCCACCTCCTGGACCCCAGTTAAGAGATCTCTGTTAACAGGAAATAGAAGCTTTCCAGTGTCACCAGTTTCACCGTCACCAGTTCCTATCGGCTCTTGAATTTATAGCTGAGAATTCAGAAAAAAATCACATTTATCCACCAGGGAATCATTTTTCCATAAAGGCTCTGTGCTGGGATACTAGGTGGCCTACAATCTTGTCCTCAATCTCTACGCCTTGGACGATTTCCTCCTCTGAGATGGACAACGGGGTTTCTGACTCCTTAGTGACCACGATCACCGTGGTTCTTCGCGAGTCCAGGGTGTTGGCAACGACCACCTGATGGTTGTATTTGGCCAGGGCCTGCCTGGCTTTCTCAACCAGGATCAAAGGATCAGTTTCCAACTTGAAGGAGATCACAAATGCCTCAGGGGCCCATTCCTTAACCAGCGGAGACAGCATTTTGGGTACCATCTTCATGGTTATCTGCAACAAGGGAAGCAGAGAGAATTTAGCAAAAGGCAGAGAAGAAATAGCAACAACTGCTACTAATGGCACTCTGATGGGTTTCTTCTCCAAAGCGCCAGAAGGCAGGACAATAAACAACAGATGGAAACTAATCAAATAGAGAAGCAACCTAGAACTTAACGAACAATTTCCTGGCAGTGAGGACAGTGGAAGTTCTGGTCTTCAGAACTCTGTTATTGTTGTCACCTTTGGCCCCTCTTTCCAGCTCTCTCCGTCTCTCCAAATTCTCCCACTTTTCTATCTCACAGCTGCCATCCTTATGAAAGGGCATCTCTTACCTGGAGGGGCCCATCGGAAGACTGGATTTTATGTTCAGGCATCTCTGAAGGGGGAATATAGAAATCTGACACAGCTGCTGCCAGGTAGAACATGGCGCTGGAACCTGATGGGGCAGAGAGTGTGAAAAACACGGGGATGAAAGGAAACCCAGCTGCTCCATCCTTCCAAAATAAAACCATAAAAGCTACATTGTCTGCTGACAATTGTACACTTTAATAATAACTATACAACTTTGAATTGATATGGCAAGCCATTATTATTATTCTACCGAGAGAAAGATTGACTCAAGCTGGCAAAACATACGTAATGCTCCTTCTTCTTCCCATTTTTCCCAGAAAGACTATGAGGTAGGTTGGGCTGAGAAAGAGGGACTGGCCCAAAGTTGTTCAGTGTCTAAGAGAGGCCTAGCATTCCCAGGTTCCTGGGCACCTTGACCAATTGCATATTTCGTATTTCCATGTATTGTATTTACTCTTACTGTAATAGTGTTTACATGCATTGAATTGGCTCTATTTCCAGCTACTGTACTTCAGTTCCTGTCTTAGCTTGTTTGCATGGATTGTATTGGGTATATTTGCATTTAAGGTATTGAACTTACTTTTTCACTTAGTGTTTGCATGGATTGCATCAGCTGCACTTGCAACTATTCTAATAACAAATGTTTGTATGCGCCGGCGTGTTTTGGCATGCCTGGCTTGCATTGCCATCCTGCCTTTCATGTAAAGGCCTTTGCACGTCTCCCTCCCTCCCAGGCATCCAGCGGGGCCTCACCGAGCGGGGCGAGGGCGCGGGCAGCGGCGCGCAGCAGGGCCAGATATTCGGCCAACCCGGCGAACTCCAGGGCCAGGAAGGCGCCGTCGTCCCGGGCCCGGCCGTAGGCGCGCAGGGCAGGCAGGAGGGCAGGGAGCGCTCCGTCGCGCACGCGCACCGCCCCGTCCTCCTCGTGCACGCGCAGCAGGTCCAGCAGGGCCGAGCCGGGCGGCGGCAGGGCGCGCGCCCAGGGGAAGGCCGAGCGCGTCCGGTGGAGGAAGCAGACCCCGTAGCCGGCCGCCGCCAAGCGCTCCGCCGAAGCCGCCCCGCGCCGCCCGCTGCTGAAATTCTCCAGGAAGCGGACCGCGCGGGCCTCCAGCGGCACCTGCGTCCCGCCGGACGTCACCAGCGCCACACGGCGGCCGCCAGCCCGCTGCGCCTCCGCCCAGGCCCGGACGCGACGCTCCGCCTCGGCCGTCGCCGCCGCCTCCCGCTCCCAGGACGCCGCCATCGTCCCCGCAGCCGCCATTGCTGTCGACTCGGCCGGAAGCCCCTCCTCCCGCGCCTGCGCGCAACTATCGTTCCGGGAACTAGTCAGAGCGCCTTTCCGGGAAGCAACCGGAACTTTCATAAGCGGATATGGCGTATAAGATGGATATTTTTTTCGAGCATGATGGCGGTCGCCGGAAGCCCCGCTCCTCCCTTAGCAACGGCGGCCCTAGCAACGGCGGCGGGAGAAGATGGCCATGCAGACGGAGTGGCTGGTGCCTCTGGCTCAGCCCCGGCAGAAGAAGCGGCGCTGTGAGCTCTGCCTCGGTCCCGCCACCGTCCGCTGCGCCGCCTGCTTGGTGACCTACTACTGGTGAGTGGCCGGCAGGCGGGGCTCCGTCCGGGGAAGCGTCCGGGTGGGTTGCAGCCGTTGCAACGGACTGTTTGCTGCTGTAATTCTCCGTTCCAAGTTCAGGCCTTCAATACTCAGCCAAAGATTTAGCTGTAAAGTAGGTCACAAGAATGTTAACAGGTGAAACACTATGTAAAATAGACTTTATACAACAACAACAACAACAACAATAATTAATAATAATAATAATAATAATAATAATAATAATAATAATAATAATAATAATAATAATAATAATAATAATAATAATAATAATAATAATAATAATAATAATA